CCCAACTAATCAATATTCGTGCACGGGCATTACATGAACGACTGAAACAAAGGAAACACAGACAACGGCACGATTTCTTTCAACTCACTTCCATTTCCATAGCCATTAGTGGTCGAATAGGTAGTGCCGTAGACGTTCGAATTTGTGCATCCATTCGAAAGGAAGCCGTTCTGCATCGAACGTCTTGACGTCGGCGTACCACTGGTGGGCGGTCGATGATGTACGGCCGCAGTGGACGTGCATGCCTGTAATACGATACTAACTGACTGCCTCTCATAGAAAAACGCACATAGAATTCCTGGAATCTTTCACGTCTCTCGCGCAGACTCCCATTTTAGCGCTGTTAATGCGTTTTTTTTTCGTAGGAATGGGCGAGAATGGGCCAAGGATAGAGTGGGAAACTGACGTCAAGGACGATTCTTCGATTTCATAGCAGCCATTTCAGATTTTGAAAGCCTTTATTCATTCCAGCATGCCTCGATTTACATATGTTGAATAGAAATGCAAAACGTTTAGCGTTCTTCCACTTCCGTTTAGGGACACGCCACGCCATTCGGCATCCTTCTAGAACTGTATTGGTGTTTAGAAGCGCGTTCGGCTTACAATAGCACAGATTACTGAGTATTATCTCTAGCAGTCAAAGGAATATAAAAGATGAAAAGCTTTCAAACAAAGGTTTTCCTCGCATTCATAAATAGGTGGCAGCAGTTTGAAGGCTCATTCCACGCTTGTCGTGTGGGCGGAGTCAGATTTGTCACCGTGTCCTTCTCTTTGGCGCACCTTTCCTCTTTAGAATGGTGAAGTTGATGGAAACGAGGAAAACACAATGGCAGATCCGGTTCCGCCTACACGACGAGCGTGGAGTGTGCTCGACGATGATTTTGCTGGCGTGGGCGCAGAAGGATTTCAACTGTGCATGGCAGCTGCAAAAGGCACTTCCGCACCTCCGCACCCTAGCGTGCTGCATAAGAAATGGAGAGCATCTTTTGGAACAGTTTTCTGGCCGGAAAAAGAAACAATACTCGAAAAAAATTCAAGCAAACGCAGAATTTTAGCAAGAGCCTACCACTCGCGAGCCTCAAAAAGTGGGGAATCGAGATCCCTCTATCACCTTTTCAAACAAAGATCAGCAAACGAAGGACATGAGTTCCCGCAGACGCACTAGTAGAGATCTCAGCGTGCTACCTTTTTCGAGCTCTCTGGACAAAACCAACGTCGAGTTCATTCCACGTTGATCGTATGGGCGGAATCGAACCTGATTTTGAGCTTTCCTCCCTTTCGTCCTTTCCACCGTTCTCGAGAGAAGGGCACACCAAAGAGAAAGATAAGATGAAAAGCTCGGTTCCGCCCACTCGACATGCGTGGAACGGGCCTTCAGACTACCTGCCAACTGTTCATAGAGACGAGGAAAACTGATTCACTGACAGAGCTGTCCCCACAAAATGTATGATCGCAATACAGGGCCTCTTTCTGAGTCTAGAGAAGCATTTTGGATAGAAATTTTTCAAAGAGGCGAGGATGGCGCCGTGCTTACAGCAACAGCACTACCGCGTGCGCTGAGCGCGCATGAAACATGTTCGACTGGAGAATAAAGGCGGTCCCATTCTCCCCAGACCCTCCGATGTAAATCTTACTGTCTTGTTACACCTGACTCTCGTCTGTATTGCGGGTGGGAGGAAACACATATGGGGCTGTTTTCGCAGTTTGGTCACTTCAGGTGATGAGGAAACTTAGTCGTTTAGCAGCACAGGTGTTCCAGATCCGTCTGAACTGCGTCCTCCTCCAATTCAAAAGCGCAACCTCATCCATCTCTTGAGCCCCTCCCCTTAACAGATTTTACTATTCTGTACTTTTCCAGACGAAAAAAAGACGGTTGAGCCAACCGGCGGAAGGGGGATTGAGTTCCGATTCCTTCCCAAAACATCCTTTCGCATCACTACAGACAAGCCTTCTGCCATCGTTCTAATACGACTAACTTTTCTCAGGAACTCCAGTGCGACCCAGTCCTCGACCAATCCAGGCCCTGCTCGTGACTGAGCTGATCTCATTCGGGTTGAAGACTTTCTACGATTTAGAATGGGAATATAATGTTGGCGCAAGCCACGGGGTTGCCCAGGACTGCATGCAGACCATTTCCGGTCAAAGGAAACTGTCATGTAATGGGATCCATTTTGCAAACCGTTTGCATTGGAGCCGATTTCGTCGCAATTGACACCATCTTTGAAGGACAGTTAGCAAATATAACTGTGCAAACATTCTCCACTAGAGGCACACCACTCACTACACTTTGTGACTTCGAATTTTTTTTGTTCACAGTTAAAGGTGTCCGAGGTAAGAAGGTTGGATAAGAGGGGTAAACTGCGAGAAGTGGGTTACTACCTCGCAAGCTCCCAGAAAAAAAACCACTGGCCAGATCAGTCTGCCATATGGAATCAATTAAACAGCTAACAAATATTGCGGAGGTTCCAGAAATGTCCAGAAAAACTGTTCCAGAAATGAATGAAAAATGGAAAACCGGAATCGCAACGCATTACCTCCTTGTCAAACAAACGAATCGCAGCAGCGATATCGATTTTTGGTGGAGCACGATTGTAGGAAAACTTGGACATTGGAGATTAGATCTCTTGAAAGAATACAGCAGTGGCTAGTGGGGGCATATCTGATTACAAGATAGTTGGCAATAAAGCTGTAAAGTACCGAAGGGTACTGTAGAAGACAGAAGGGCGAACTCTGAGCTAATCCATGTCCGCTGATTCGGCTGACTGCACGAGACAAACCGCTCACTGGGGAAGACGGCCGAGGAAACAACGCGCAACGGAAGGAGTCGCTGAGATCGGAGCGCAGAAAAATGCTCGAGAAATATTGACGACGAAGAAAACCCAGAACTGAGTCAACATGCTCAGCCACAAGACATTGTGAGATTTACGCACCCACAGCTGGTGACGGCATGAAATCTGGAGGAATCTGAGTATATGGATCGATAACATGGGTAGGGGTTCTATTGGGTACACCCTATCTGGGGTTGACTGTTGATTACATGAAATTAGGTAATAACACTATCAAAAAGAATATTCTGCCGGTGTTATTCATAAGGAGAGCGGTATAAAGAAAGCAATAAAATATAATCACAATAATCATCGGAAATCGGAAATCGGAATACA